GTTAATGTTCATTGCTTAATGATCAACTTTAGTCTGTTTTGTTTGTATTTTTATTGTATAGGATTGATTAATATAAATTAGATTCATGGATTTCGTAAATCTTTTTCAACATACATTATGATTGCAAGTAACTCGAATTGTTATATTTGATTCAGATAGCAATACCTTACAAAATAGGAGAACTTATTTTAAGCTCATAAATAACAAATCAGATTCTGCTAGAAAAATTCTCTTAGTTATCATTATAGTTTTATTCACTTGTTAGTCGATTTTAATCATAAGACTACTAGGCTTAATTATATCTACTGACGTGTCAGTCTAGAAATAGTTTTTGTTGGATAGCCTGAAACGTCTATTTGTCATTTATTATTCAAGATATTTATAGACAATATTTTCTCATCTGTATTATTGAGAGTCGAACACACATACTTTCTGCGAATCATCAATCACGTTCATGCATGAGTCACAATTTGTATAGATTAGAAGTAAACTTTCGATTATTTACAAAGTAAATTGTATGGGAATCTGTATACTAAAAAGAAATGTACTCAAGCAGTATGCATTCAGATATAATATTGAGAAATTTGTGGTTATTATAAGATGTTGAAATGTATGAAGCATTTTGAACATTGATTTGAATATTGTTGAATACTATATGTTTTGTCAATCCGGTATATTTCTGAATCTAATTCAAAGTTTGTTTTTATTTGTTAAATAGACAAGAAAACGAAGAACATTAAATATATCTCAATCTTTTTTCTTTATATTTTATTTGTTCATCATTAGACAAACGAAAAAAAATAAATAAATTGAATTTATGTCTCTCATGATAGTGATTTATCACTGTTCTTGTTTAATCCATCAACGTGTACGGATAAGAGCAGGAAATGCGATAGTATAAGGTGGCTGAGATCCTTGATTAAATTTGGTCCATTTCTTTTTCCATTCTCGTTTTTCGTCAGATAATAGTCGTTTTTCGTCAGATGACAGATCTGTATCACCATCATTGGCATGGTATAGATGATTAGTCAAGAGATAGCGGGGATTAACATTAAATCGTCCGAAGAAACCTGCGAGAGATCGTTTCTGGTCTTGTTGTTCCATATTGGTTGATGTTCCAAGTACGGTGTTGGCTATATTGAGATATATTATTGTTATTAACATGATATATATACCAAAATGTGCAACCATTTTTTTAGTATATAAATTTCTAAACGTCTGTATGTGTACTTTGAAAAAGTAACTAAATGGCAATGAAAGATCAACAAAATATGAAGAAAAGTAGAAAAAGAAAGAGGACAACTTGGTTTTAAATTTCCGTCAGATCTTAATTGATAAAAAGACTAAAAAGAAAAAAAGAAAAAAGATACTTGAAGTTTAATTTGATGATAATTGGCAGAAATAATCAATGTAGAAGTGTATGTGCCGGCGTAGGTTGATAATAGAAAATCATTTATGGTTTCGAGTGACGTTGTCAGTTATTTAATTTCTTGAAGCAAAACATTAGAAAATTGAATATCTTCATTCATCATTGAAATAAATTACATGTCGCACAATTCGAAAGAATTGTTTTAAAAAGTTTCATAATTGAGAACAATTGTATTTCGATTATAAAGAAGAAAAAAAATAGTATCATCGAGTCATATTGATATATGAGTTACGGGATTTTAGAAGAATTTCAACATTTAGCTAACTATAAATGGATAGTACTGATAAATGACTAATAAGTAAAATTGAGCTGCATCAATATGAAATTCTGCGAGCTTTTTGGAAAGTCGATTTATAACCACCACATGATTCTTTTGATTGCTTGAGAGAATACTATTTCTTCAATAATATGAATGTTAAATTGTTTATTTTAATAGACTGTTCTATTTAGGATATCAATGAATTCGTTATAAGAAAAAATATACATACATTACAGAATTTTTTTTTTCTTTTCGTATCTTTTCCATATCGAGTTCCTTTCGCTTTCGAAAATAATTACTTTTGCACAAAAATTTAACCAAATTTCTTGATTAACTATATTTTCTTTTTCTCTATATGTCATTGAGTATAATCGAATGAAATATGTGCGTAACGTTTACTGAATCCTCTATGCCTTTCAAAAGTCAGCTTAACCTTGTCACACTAGATAGGAATATATTATGTTTCTGAGCAATATAAACTAGTAAAACTATATAGTATATAGATGCATAAAGTTCGTGTTGTACTAATCAATATCTTGAACTGTTCTTTGATTTATCTGACTTATGATATGTTTTGGTACAAGAAAATTGGTATAAAGTTTTCTTCTCAAGTATTGACCTTCTTGTTTTTATTTATACGTATTTAGACGAATTCTATATGCAATAACCGCTAATTTCATTCATTGAATTGACGAAATACGTTATCTTACTCGTGACAATTCAAATTTCGATGATGTTTCATGATTTTCTATTTTTATATGTTCAATAGTGGTATCTAAAAGATTATAGTAATATTTAAGATATATAAAGAGAAAAATAAGAACTGATACGAAAGACAATGTAGATTGAATTAATGCAACTATGCTAATCAATTATTGATCTTATAAGATCTTGAATCGATTACAACAAAGATGATCTAATTAATACAAGTTTCTATAGTGCTCATAACAACAAAATATATATGAGTAATAATCTATTTCTCAAAAAGATGCATAAATAATTTTTGTTCTTTATGTGATAAATTTCAATAACGAAAAAATTATTGTTTACAGCATAAGTAATGACAATCAGTTATTATTAATATCAAATATATTAACTTGATCCGATAAATTTATACTTTTTCATATTCTGCCACACAAAACATATGATTCATAACAAAATTATTTAAATGGTGCGATTACTCATGATCAATAATTAACAAAATTGAATTCAATCAATAACAAATATTGACAACAAGTTGATGAAATATTTTCATGTTTTTTTTTGAAAGATAAATATTGATGGATTTTCTTTTTTTTTTGAAGCAATGCATTGTGTACTATTAACGAAACAAATTTATTTAAAAACAAGCATACAATTATTTTTCACAGGTAAAAAAAATTTATCTTCAAGACTTTTATGTGGTTACGTAAAACTTTGAGTAACAAGAAAAGCCAATTTATGTGCATATTGGTATACACCAAGTGCTCGGATTGCATTAGGCCAACTGAAATAAAAGAAAAAATTAATCAATTAATTAATGAGAAAATAATAACTGATTTGTAATATATGATTTATACAAACGTGGTTTGATCCCAAATGAGATTGAAATAAGTTGAAACAACGATTCCCTAATGAACCATTTGTAAAATCAAATACAAATCGTATCATTCTATAAAACTAAATGATTTAACTGATTTATTAAAAAAAAACATATAATACAAGCCTTAATTAGTGACTGTGTGGTCAATAATTGTACCGGGTAGTAGATTTATTAATTAATGATTATTGCGCGGATCACATGCAAAAAAACACGAGCATTTCCACGCTTCTGTGCAACAATCATCGTTAACTTCGAACTAAAGACCAAATCTTTATAAGAGATCTTACTCATAACCTGCTTGTACTTTCATACTAAGTTCATTAAATGCCGATAATTCACTTTCACTAACCTTAAATAATTGAATATCAGTAATATCTGTTTATTCATTGATAAAAATTATCATAAACAAAATACAGACAAAAAAGATACATTTTACTTTGCATACATACTTTTAATCTTGCAAAAAGATCTTTATTATTTCGTTTTTTCGATGTTATGTAAATAGTAACATGCACACATTGGATTTATTGAAGCAACAAAATCGATCCTTTCTGATTAACATGATCGACAATCATGATATGTATCAATAACAATGATCATCAATATTTTTGACAATGAAATCAAATAAAAATGAAGAATTTCTCTCTAATTAAAAATACTTTGAGATGAAACTGGATAATCAATGCGTAAGACATTTTTATTGTATCATAAACTATCTTTTCGATTGTTCGTTAAAATACAACAAACAAAATCCATTCGTAGATTAGTACTTTTTTCAATAGCTCGAATAAATGTTTCTGAACAAGCAATTTGATAATTCAATTCTTAAATTTTGATAGAAGGATAAAACACATATCGTACTGATTTTTTTTTGGTTTTACATTTCAGGAAAATTCACACCCATATCTAAACAAATGAACAATAAATTGAAGTAAGACAAAAACGAAACTAATCTACAAGTTTCTGCACACTTTATAAAAAACATGAAGAAATGAATGAGTAATTTGTGAATCACATTGATAATAAATAATAATCTATTTATCAACATATTTAGTTGAAAGATATGCTAAAGAACGTCCATCACGAGATCAATCAACTCCTAATGAATTATATCGGGTTGTACACTAAAACTTATTAAATTAATTATTTATTCAATTTAGCTTCGATCGTACGACCAGTTAATTCAACACATTCTTTATCAGGGCTAATTTACTATTTATTTAATTCTTGACGTCCTTCCGTACATCCTTGTTTCATTTAAGAAAAGGCTTGTCTCATTGAATCCAAAATATCTTTAGAATAAAAACTTCAATAACAAAACGTAGAGAAGAAAAAAATTAAACTTCATCTGTCATACAACATAATTCTGAAATTAGATAGATCATCCTTTGAATTTTTTTCTTTAGACCACGTTTACCAATTTTACCATTTCATTTAACAACAGTTAATGGTTGTTGTTCATCGTTAATTTTTATTTGATGTTGTTGAAAGTAACAAAATAAAAGGAAAGGATTAACATAAATACAAAAAAAAAGGTTTCACTTCTCAATAATATTCAATAAGAGTTTGTTGGTCACGAGCACGCTTAGTAAATGGAAGATTTAAATCTTTATCCTAAGCAATATCAAGAAATTTTGTATGTTTTATTATTATATCTGTAAAACAACATAATAAATTCTGATCGATATTCAAAAAAAAGAAATGGAAATAATCAACAGTGTGAAGACGATTTATTCAAGAAGTTCTGTTAATGATACAACTTGAACTTGTTTAATATCATTTAAACGATTAAGTTTATTCGTTAAAATTGAATAAACATTTTGTTTATTCATTACTTTTATTGATAAATCAACATTAATCATCCATTGACTTAAATACAAAAAAAAACCAATGTTTTGTAAGAATTCTTATAAATCAAACAAATCTTCATAGACATTATTAGCTATTATTAGACCTGACAGCATTAATCTATATCGATCAAGTAATTTCAGATTAGCTATTTCTAATAAACAAGGAACAAAAAAAATAACAAATAAATAAGCATATTTCACTTTTGAACAATCAAGTTTACCAAATAAAAGAATTCAGCTGAAGCTGTAGCTATACCTTTCATTTGAATTGTTATTATTAATTCCTTTGTCACTGGATGTTTAACAGAAATAATTTTTTCCTAAAATATAACAAAAAGAAATTCTTTTTTTCTTATTTTTATCAAATAAAAATACTAGTACAAAATCTTCGAAATAATAAAAAAGTAGTCTATTGAAAACTACATCATTAATTCCAGCTTTTGATCTGTCATATATTAACATTGCGCTATTTTATTATTAAGATATATTAGCCACAAGGGCAATAGCTTGTTCATTTTCACCTTGTTTACAATTAAGTTCTGATGATCGAGTTTTTGGAAACTTCGATATTGTTGAACAACTATCACTATCATCTAATGCCTTCAACCGAAACTAAATCTTTACAAAGAGAACAGAACAAATTTTTGAAGATGATCTAATAGAACTCATGTACCTCAATTAGAAAGTAATGCTAGTCAACAAAGACAACGACGTGATTAGGCATATCTTCTTAAATACATGTCATCTACAGATCAAACTAAGTTTATCGATTCGTCTTCTCCTCAAGACAAATAATATTTTCACATTTTTTATTAAAAATGATCTTTATATTATATATGTTAGCGTTCAATCTCGAATCCAAGATTCGTCTAGGCCAATTCGATATTGAACGTAATCTTAGTTTGAACAGTAACATGTATTTATCTTTATAATGATGCTCTTCTTACTTAAACAATAGTAAGAATAAAATGTACATGTACTAGATTGAGACTAGAGAGATATAAAAAACGGATAATAATATTTTAGATTTTATTTTTATTGATTCTTCTACACATCCAAAATAAAAGATTTCATAAATAAAAGACACAAAAAAATAAATTCGAGTGCGTGTATATTTTTAATCATGAAATTATGATGGTAAGGAGAATATCCAAAAAGAAAAAAAGATTTCTTAACCAATCGAAAAATGAATTCTAAGAATGAATAGATATATGCATAAAAAAAAATTCATCACTTTTTGAAAATTAAAAATATATTAACGATGTGATGTCATATGACGTGTTAAATGATGTCGTTCTCGAAATGTTTCATAGCAAATATGACAAGTAAGATTCATTGATGATGTTGAATTTGTAAATGTTTTTCTTGTTGGTGTTATTGTTTCTGTAGATATTTGATGATGATGATGATAATTACGTCGTGTTGCATGATGAACACGAATATGATGAACTAATTCACTTGTAAGACGAAATTGTATTGAACATTTTGCACACCAATTTGATGCATTTGCTAATGCTGTTGTTGATGATGATTGTGATAGATGATGTAAAGCCATTAACCATGGATTAACTGATAATATTGATGTTGTTATAGGTGTTTGACAAATTTTTGATGATTCATTTGTTGATTGAAGAACATTAGCAATACCAAATGGTAATGATGCTGATTCAGATCGAAATACTTTTGATGATAATTGTCGTGATTGATTTGAATCATCGTCTAAAATATATAAACAATTTTATTAAATGTATTCTCTTTTTAAAATTATGATTATTATTTTAGCTTTTAATTAAATGAAAAATAAATCATTCATTGGAATTTCTATTCTTTTTTTTAAATATTTATAAAGAGTTTTAAAAATAATTTACATTTGTATATCTTAGAAAATTTTAATTAAATGAAAATAATTGACTATTTTGTATAACATTTATATGCATATGTAAACATAAGATGAATCGATTTATAATAATTGTTCTATATGGATTCTCTAGTAAAAATAAAATGAACTAATCCAGATTGTAAGTGTTTTATTCAATGTTGAATCGATAAGATTGCTAAGTATCTTTCATATAGATCTCATTTCCATAATAGAAATAAGAAAAAAAAAATGTTTTCATAAATGTTTATATTTCTATTTGAAAAAAAAAATTTTTTTGTCCTTCTTAATGTCCTTGAAAATCTCACCTTGTTTTCTTTTATTATTTGTTATTAATGTTGTCTGATCAAGATCGTCGTTGTTAATATTTTTCTCAATCGATTCCATCGAATTCGATAATCTTGTCAATCTGCGCGGTCTCTATATTAGTGATGATGTACCCTATGTTGCTAGTTGTATTACTGATGCGTAAAAAACAGCTCGACTTGCCAACCAAATCGGCTTAGATGAAGAGAAGAAGAAATAAAAAAAATGTGTCTTCTCTCTGTCTCTTTATCGTCTTCTCCCAATGGGACTCATCAATAATGATGATGATGATGATCGCAACAGTCCGTTTAGTAATCTGTTCTTCTTCTCGTTCACTCAAGTCTAATGCAATCACTTTGTAGAGAGAGAATTCCCTGTCGTTGACTGCAAGAGCAATCACATGAGAATAATTACTAAGACACACACACACAACAATCAGCTTTTACAAGACTAAAAAACGGCATATGATTGAACCGATCGACCATCGTGCGTATATTCATTTTCAACGAGTAGTCATTTGGGAAATTGTTTTCCAGAATAGCTAAGCAATCAGTGTCAAGTTGTTTTTGTACACATAGAATTAAACAGATTTTTCTTTTGATAATTTTTAGTTATGGTTAACTTTTTAATGAGAAAATATTTAGACTTTTCAATATTTTAAAAATATAAATTATGAACAACATTTAAAAGATTATTTGTTTTTATTGGAAACTTTATTTCAAAAATTTGATCTTATCAATCAAATTTTTATTAATATTCTGTTGGCGTTTTTTTTTCCAAATCATGAACAAAATAATACGAGACGAAATATATTTTTATGAATATGGAGACATATTGCTTTTGATAAAAGAAAACAAATACTTACACTTAAAAGAAATTCTGTATTGTAAGAAAGTCAAAACAACACTGTCAGGATATTTTTGTGTCGGAAAGCTTTCTGAAACTTTGAAAATCCTTAAATCGTTCCAGATAGTAACATTTCTGGAAATCTTCAAGAATTTTGGAAACATCACAGAAAAAATATGCGGAAATTCTTTTTTTTTTAGGTTTCTTATAATATGAATTTCTTCTTCTTCTTGGTCTGAGAGAGTAGTTTGATGAATAAGAATCAATCATGTGTTAGTTATTTATCAATATTTTACCTATTCGTAGAAAATTCATTTTTCAATTAATAAGACTACATAATGAGTTATTTTTTAAAAATTGCTGATATTGTCAAAGAATTTCTTTTAATAAATCTTTATTCCTATTTTAGATTGAATGTGAAAACATTCGTTTTCTCTCCATTTTATTTTAACAAAACAACGAGAGAAAAATCACAAAAGTTCTTCTTTTATTTGATGTTATCAACTGTTTTGTTTATTTATTCATTGTCCACATTAGCAGTGAGTAATCCTAATTAAACAAAAAAAAAAATAAGAACAACGAATTTAAATATTGAATAGAAAAAAAAATCAAGACAAACCTTTAAATGAAGGTACTCGAACAAATGTAACCAATGTATAAAGTTTATGTGGTGAATCTTCATCTTCATTACGTTGTCGAGCTAATCGAACTCGAACACGATAAGGAACATGACTAAATGGAAAAAAAAAACAGAAAATTTTTGTAAATAAAAGATTACTAAGAAAGAACTAACTTGATTCCTTGTGACCAAATTTCCTTGTTTAATTTTGAATCAATACGAACATCAGGTGTTTTCATCATTTTTTCAGCAAATTTTTTTAATTCTTTTACTGCACGTGGTGCTCGCTTCTTGAAAGCTCTATTTTAAACATCGATGAGAAAATAAATATTTATAGAAAATTTAATTTAACTTACATGCCATGCAATCGTTTATGTAAATTGACCGTATATTCGCGAGTAACAACTTCATTTGTTATTTGTTTTTTGCTACTGCCACTTTCACCTTTTTTACCTTTTTTATTGGCCATTTTCAAGATCGATCAGTTGTTTTTTTTATAATCTAAAATAAATTCACTTCATTTGCATTGTCAATGAATAAAAATCGTTTCAGTTCACAGAGTTTTCTTATCGTATCAACAAAATAAACTCAATAAATACAGAAAGAAAAAAGACAAATTAGATATAAAAAATATAAGCAAAAATATTCAGATCGACTACGCTGATAAAATAATTGTGGAATAAATAAATAAACATATATACATATATATTGACACAAAAAAAATTTGCGCAGTTTTAATATTAGAGAAGATAAAAAAAATAACCTCTGTTATTTTTCCTATCTTCTGTTGGTATTGCTGCTCAACAAATAGTTCCGATCGTTATTAATTGGATTTGCTAGAGTATCAAGTGGCAAAACAACGTCTCTACTAAAATAAAAAAAATTAAAATTATAGAATAATAACATATAAATATATGTCGAAGAGTTTTTCTTTATATGAAGATTTTTCTGCATGGAAGTTCCTTTCATTGTGTTTATAATTTTTTTTTTGAAATTCCATCACAAATAAAACGCTTTTCGAAATATAAACAATTGAAAAATAATTTTCTTTTTGAAATAGGTTAGTTTTCTTTATTATCAAAATCATCTTCGATTTGATGGTGATATTAGATTAGTATCATTTTCCCGGTTAGTACTACCATTCGATCGTATTACGTACGTTGGATTTCTAGATCGTTCTTGTAAATCTTCCAGTAGCATACTATTTACTTGATAGTGAATTCCATCGCCTTGTCTATTTAATAAAAAAATTCAAATTGAAATTTTAATAAATAAAAGACAAAACTCTAAAATTACGTTGTATTTATTGGTATTAATGCTTTAATAAGATCAGTTCCTAAAATTTCTTGAATATTTTGTTTACAACCTAAATCAAAACCATCTTTTTGAGGTCCATTTGCAAATATTGGTGCTCGATGTGATTCTAACGACAAAAAAAAACAAAAATTCATGATAAAAAATTGTTTTTTTTGTTTTTGAAAACCAAAAATAAAGTATTTACCCACTGTCGTTCGATTTTTTCCAATTAAAAATAAATGATAAAAGAATAATGATGATACACTAACAGCAAAGATAATAGCAATAAAAAAAAGAAAAAGCAAATGAAATCTTCCACT